AAAATTAAAAAAAAAAAAAAAGAAATGAAATGAAGATTAATTAATTAATTAATTGGTAAGCACATGAAGATAAAGTTGTAGGTTTGACGGTATTCTTAAAACCGACTGAAACAACTAGAGAAATTAAAATAATAGATGATTAGGAAAAATATGAGTGCAAAACTGGTGGGGTCGACTAGAATGCAAAGGGGTTTCCAGGCATGCTTGTCCATCTGCGTTTGATCCCCGAAACCCATATAAAAGATGAAAGGAAAAGAACCGACTTAGCTCAGTTGTCCTCCGACTTACAATGAAGCTATGACATTTACATGCTGTTGTCTTCCCTCTTCCCCTATCCATATCATTGTGTGTGTGTGTGTGTGTGTGTGTGTGTGTGTGTGTGTGTGTGTGTTTCCACACTTTTTTTGTGAGGGGGAGTGCTTTATAAGAATAAAGAAACCGGTGGCCTCAATTCAGTGGTATTCAGTGCAGTGTTAGATATGTCATGTTAATTTTCTGTAATGGAGTTGAAGTTGTACTTCTATAAAATTGTATGTGGGTAGCGGAAGAATGGGGGCAAACAGAAAAGCCTTACAAATATTGTGATGCCAGCAAGCCTTCAAACAAAAGTGTCTAAAATTGTGGACATGAGATCTTCTACATTTTCCTTAGAAGAAAGCTCACTCGCTTCCAGCATGTACTACAGATCAGTTTATTCTGAAGCAGGGTGAGTTTGTAAGCAGTGAATCCCAAGCCCTAGCACAGCAGCCTGGTGAGAGCCTGTGAGGGTTCCACTCCTGAGGTCCTTTCCCCACTCTAAGACTTTGAGAACTGATGATATTGCCAATTTAATGCGACCCGTACCAAAAAAAGAAAGGAGAAAATTACCTGCTATTTAAGGCAGCATTGAGTCCTATTCAGAATCCATTTGTAAAATTACTTCCTCTTGTGCATGAGTAACAGGCTTTCCCGTTTACAATTTTCCTGTAGTGTCCAGTGTTGACATGCCTGTCAGATATCCCTCCTCACACCTTCCTGGCTTGCTGCTGCTTCCTCTTGATTATGCTAGAAAGAGTCAGAGTGAATATTTCGTTTTCTTAGAGAGTCAATAGCTGACAAGAAAGAATGCGGCACTGTCAGGGGGATGAATTATGCCACAAGTATGAAAAGGCCACTCTCAGGCATTCACTGCTCTGTTTCAGTGTCCCAAAAGGGTCTACTAGCAGAATATTTATGAGGTGTCCCACTCTTCTTTCTAGGGTTCTACCAAAGGAAGCGGTGGTCCGATTCTCGAAAGTAGGAAAAGGGAGCAGTTACAATTAGCAGGGGTGAATTTCTCCCGCAAAGGCAGCCCTCTCCTCCGCTCTAGGTTTGCCTTAGGTTCAGACTAAACCCTGCCTCCTTGATCCATTCATCATTGAAGCACAATTTTCCCAGGGCCCAGCTTTAATGCGCTTCATCTTGACTGAGAGAGGTCTCTTTTGTAAATGATAGTTTGTATTCAACTTTTACAATCAATAATTACGAACTTGCAACCTGTTTTCTGAAGCCCTGACTGAGGGACAGCTATATGAGAGTACGATGCCAGGACCACAAAACCGAACACTGGCACATAGTACATAAAAACAAAGCAAAGCTAATCCTTAGGTACTTGTTTTTTCATTATAATGAAACTGCCCCTAAAGAACCAACAAAATATTGAGGTCATGCAGGCAAAGAACAATCAGGCTAGTGAGCCCTTCCTGGCAGGAAGTTGATAGGATCCAGAACAGCCTTCCAGAGGGATACTATTAGATGGTATTAATAGTGCTGAGTGGGTTGCATAGTGTCAAGGAGCATGATGGAGAAAGAATGTGGGACAAGAAAAAAAAAAACAGCTCTGATATCTGTAGGCTAATATCAGTTTGCTGTTTAGGAGTGTCATATCCACAAGTTCTTCACATGTCAGGCTAGGTTTTAGGGAGATGAAGAATTAGCACCTGCCTAAACATATGGGGCTTGTGAATTCCAGCTTAAATGTTTGGATTTTTTTATCCCCTGGTACAAACATCTCCATAGTTATTAGTAATGAATTTTTAGCATGTTCCAGTGTGTGTGTGTGTGTGTGTGTGTGTGTGTGTGTGTGTGTGTGTGTGCGCGTGTATGTGCTGTTCATTTATACATAATAAACAGGGACATAAAAAGCGTGTTGTGTGTATAAAAATCAGGATAATTAAATTTTAAGATAAAGAAATAAGGAAATAATTAGCTCATTAATCATTATGGATTTTTGTTGCATTTAACAAGAATCTTTTATGAGTGTATGTGTATGTATGTCCATGTACTTATAAATGAGGGTAAGCATGCATACATATGCATACATGTGGAAGCCAGAAGATCAACCAAAGGTGTCCTTCCTCAGGTACTGCCACCTTGTAAGACAGTGTGTCTCATTGTTTTGGAGCTGCCTAATTAAGCTAAACTGGCTGGCCACAAGACCCAAGGATCCATTTGTCTCTTTCTTCTCAAGAACATGATTACAAATTTGGCCCATATACCCACTGTTTTTCATATGGGTTCAGAAGATAAAACTCAGGCCCCACTTGTTGCATAGCATGAATTTAACCAACATTTTATCCCCACCAGCACCTTACTGGAGTTGTAAGGTAAACTACATTAGTGATTTTTAATCACTACATATTATTATTAAATATGTATGTGTATGCACGTGAAGGTGCCTGTGTGTGCAGTTACTGAGAAAGTTCTCAGTCTTAACCAATATGAACACCTACTAACAATTTGAGCAACAGTGGAAAAGCTACCATAAATGCCCTTCCCTGATAATGAGACTGACAACTAACTTACCCACCATCATGGAGCCCTCATCTAGTAGCTGATGGAAACAGAAGCAAACATCCACAACTAAACATTGAGCAAATTTGAAATCCAGATGCAAAGAGGGAGGACAACACCAGGCTGCAGATACACATAGAGACAGTTGACCTGAACAAGGAGGAGCTAATGGGCCCTCAGACTGATAGCTGGGAATCCAGATGGGACTGACTCAGACCCCCTGAACATGGGTCTCAGTTAGAAGGCAGTCTATGGGACCTCTGACAGTGGAATCAGGATGTATTCTTGGTGCACAAAAGGACTTTGGGGGCATACCCCATGGAGAAATACTCCATTAACCTAGAGAGAGGAGAGAAGTCCTAGTTCCTACTCTATATGACTTGACAGATTTCGATGGCCCTCCTGGAGGGCATCACCCTACATATTGAGTGTGGGGGGGGAATGGGAGGGGAGGATGGTCAGGGAGCATGAGAGGGTGGGAGAGAGAGAAAGAGGGAGGAAGGGAGGGAGGGAGTGAATGGGAATTGGGATTGATATGTAAAATAATAATAAAAATAAAAAACATAACTGCATCCACTAAAAAATAATCCAGTAGTTTCTGCCTCATGAGGAATATCTTCTTTGTATCTGATCAGATTAGCTTTTGCACCTTTTTATAAGGTTGGTGCATAGCCATAGTGTTAGTCTCCATTGCCTTAAGTTTATCTGTTCCCAGAGTATAATAGTAGGAAAGAAAGCATATAACTGTCTAAAATCAGTTGGAAGGAAACACATGCCCATTCATGTTATTTTGTGTTTACACCCATTTCAAAATACTACAGTACCCTAACACTGAAAACAAATGCTTAGAAGCATATATTCTCCACTGTATTAATATTGGGACCCAAGATATCTACAACCCTGTTGTTCTGTATTCAGTTCCCAGTTAACACCACTCATTAATCATAATCCATTTCTGCTAAAATTTGTGATTGATTTACAGACAACCCCATCTTCCTCTTTTCACCCAAATTCATGTCAACTTCTGTCGTTTTGTTTCCTCAACTTGATTTAATTCCTTACTAAAACAACTAGCAAACAAATGAATAGCTGACCCATACATGAACATATCTGTTTATATGTGTAAATGGCTATTTACATAGGGCTAGGTAAACTGTTGCTTAGAAAAAGATACAGTATTATCCAGCACAGTTTACACTCAACTGAAATAACACCTACCAGGTATTCAGGTCTGAGCAAACACCGAAGCCCTGAAATTTAAAGGAGAGCCTTTCCATTTATAAGGCTTGAACGTATTAGTAAATTACAAGATGTCAACTGAGAACTACAGTAAATGGAAATTCTTTGAGCTTATGAAGCATGTGAAGGGATACTGCCTAAAGGTATATGGGACTCAATTAGGAGAATATAGGCTTATGTTTATTTTATGAGTCACTGTTTTGCATATTTACCACTACTGTGATGGCTAGTAAACACCAATCAATTGCTACCACATTGTTAAAGTTAGATTTTCCCATTAAAACTAGGGAATGTACTGTTATTAACATTCTGAGTACACACTGATACTTTCTTGGTAATTATTTAGTTTGATGCTTCACAAAAAAGAATTCTTATTGGTGCTCCCTTTTACTTCTGTTCTTACATCTTTAAATTGTGTATTTATATATTTATTTATTTTTATGTATATGATGTGTATGTTAGAAACATATATGTCATGGCATGCATGTTGAGGTCAGAGGGCTTTGGGAGTCAGTTCTCTCCTTCCACCGTGAATTCATAGGATCCACTTTGTTCCCATGATTCCATGAGAATCATTTTTACCCACTTATCATCTTACTTATCTTGTTTTCACATCTTGAAACCATTAGAGTAGTTTTTCCCCAATGTCACTTACTTGTTGCTAATAAAGAACTAAGGCCTCCTATTATGAATGTGTGTTAACTTTTAGCAAATTCCAACTATCAAAGTGAATATCAGGGTCAATTCCCAATTCTAAGGGAAGACTATATCACAGCCAAAATGTCTTTACTTCCTTCAAACTACTCTGGGTCACTTCCTCTAAGTTTTTAAAGTCATGTTGGAGATATATGGTTCATATAAAAGCCATACATATGTAATATGTAGTCATTTGCTGCATTACAGAGTTTTGCTGATTACATTAACATTGTAATGAAGCTTGAAAATCCTTACCACCTGGTGATGTTGTAGCCATTGTAATACAAGAGCATTGCTTTGCTCATGTGTTTGACAAGATGCTGGGGTAAACACACTGGGCTGCAGTCAAATAAAAGCATAGTACTCACAAGAATGAATAACAGATGTAAAGTAGGTTATACTGTCTAGGTTTTTGTAAATATATTCTCTGGTGTCTGCAGATGAACTAAACAACTAACGATGCCTCTCATATTCTTAAGCAACTTACAACTAAGTACATCAGGCTGAATTTAGTGATAAGGATATATTTGTGAAACCATCAAGGCTATAACATTACATATTTTGCCTCACAGGATTTTGTTTAACCCTTTTCGTTATTACATGGGTTTTACTGTTTTGTGTGCCAAGAATATCTAAGATCTATTCTTTTACAAATTTTAAGTAAGAAATACAGTATGGACTATTCTTGTGTAAGTGAGGAGAATTAAACAAAAGAAAGCTCCACAGGAAGAGATGTGGAGTTTGAACTAACATTAAATCAGATAAGAGATATCTGCATAATTTTCTCCCAACACACACACTCAGTATATTTCATTCTACTCTCCTCACTTTTCTTGGTGGGTTTATTAATAACTCACAATTGGTCATTCTGTTTAAGTCTCTTGTTTGAGATATTGTGAGAGAAAGTTTCCTATGGGAACCACTACTCCCTCCAGCAGAATGGACTCTGATTGGGGTAGTGACCTTGGAGCTCCTTGGCACTAAAAGTGATCGCACCATTGTTTTAACTTATTTGCTGGAATGTTGCTAGCTCCACATCACTACTAATGACTTTTCCTCTGACAAATAAATCAATAAGGTTTTTTGAATAGGAGGAAACACTTCAAAAGGAGAAAAATAATTCCCATAGGAGAAGTAATTAAATAAATCATTATAATTCTCTATTTGCATAATCTAATTAAAAATACACCAGTTTGTGGAATTTACTAACAAATTACATGACAGTTTCATGTGTTGCTTTTTATTATTTAATTTGTTTTTAAATTGTTATTAGTCCATTTATTGCATGATTTTAGGTTTCTATTCACACTTGTATTATTAAGTGATATTTTTCTAATTTAATATCATTTCATTGTGGAAGAAAATTTGTTTGAGTGATACTCTGTTTTATTTTGGTTACAAATATGTGTGCAGGTACACTGGATTTTAAAAGGAGGTGGTCATGGTAACCTTTTTGAGTAGTACTTACTGGGTTAGGAATGATTTCAGACAAAATAACTGTGCTCTGTGCAGGACAAGCAGCCTCTGCACTGTAATGTCTTGCAATGTCCATACAGGCAAAAGTAGTGTAGTGTTCTTGAATAAATACATTTAGGTTATCACAAGGAAAGCATCATGACTACCAGAAGCTTGGATTACACTCATTATTCTCCTTAGTTTTACAAACGGCTGAAAATTTTGCAAAAGACTTGAGCAGATGAAAGCTAGACCACACCCATAGATGTGTAAACATGCAGGGATCCCCACTGGTGACATGAACAAAAACAGACACTGAAATAGGTACATATATCTTAACCTAAATAATAGGCATGAGATTGTTAGAAATTCTCTTCAGTTGTGTGACATTTGAATGCAAATGGATAGTGTACCGATACAATTTGAAGCCCACAACATTTTTCAGTTTTTGTTAAACACTGACTTCTCTGCCGTGTTCTAACTCTTCATAGAATTGTATTATAAAACTGTGTAGGGAGTAAATGAATCAAAGCACTCCAAAGTCTCAACTCTGTACAATGCCTTGTCCCCGCACTTGAATTTTTAATATTATTAACATAACAGAAAATAATGTACAAAATATTTGGATTGAAATCTACGTTGATGACGATGTTTATATCACCATGGTAGAATGCTTAGTTGGGGAAGAGAAAAAGTATCTAATGAACAGATGAAGCTAATATAAAAACAACTAGAGGCTCTGGGAGAAAGACTGCTTCTAAATTAGCTGCAGTCATTTTAAAGGCTGTTATCGTTTGGCTAGTTCCTGGGAAATGAGCTGCACTTGCTCTTGTTAGCTATGATAGCATTCCATGTTAGCCCACAGTTAAAAACAATCTTGGAACTGTTGTGAGCAAGTTTGTGACAGGAGCAGAGAAGATACTAGTTTTACCTGCACTGGGGGGAGCTGGTGACTAAGAAGCAGCAAATAAGCTTGGCAGAAAGGCTAACAGCACTGATCACAAGTCACATACATTTGGATTCCCCCCCCCCCCAGTAATCATGAAGGAAAATCATATCCATGGACAGGAATGGCATGACATGGAAGCCTGCTTGGTGCAAGGTATCAACTATGGAAATAGACAATTCAGGATGAACTCAGTACGAAATATAACAATAACAATTTCCATGTAACAGTTTGCTATTATCTTCTGATGGTGGCCCACCAGCAGCCTCCAACCTCTGGAGTTTTGATAATAAATTAGAAAATTCTAGGATGGTCAGGATGTCCTTGTCAATAGCTAAAATAAAAAGAGAAGTTTTCTGACCTATTCTGGCACTCAGTTATTTCATGTCTCAAGTCATAGGCAAAATTAAAAGTGTGCATATTATCTGGAATTACATATCCTCTGTAGAGGAAAGCCTGAGACACTCTAATTACAAGTATCTGAGACCTGAGTATCAATTGTCCTAAGATGTGAGTCTTGGCTGTGCCTGTGTATGATTTCATGATAACCATTAAGGTTTCCTTCAACACATCTCCATTGCCAGGTATGCTAGACTAGAACATTTGGCTCTGTAGTTATGTATGCCAGCCAGATCCTTCGTTTCCCAGATTTTTCCCTCTTTGTTTTGAAAAATCACTTTTTTGTATTGCCTCCTGTCTTCCATATTTACTTTCTCTAATCCTTAGTGAAATGAGCAGAAAATGTCTGCCATCAGTATGTAGCATAACGCCTTTCTTCTATATAATGAATAAGAGAAAAAAAGACTAATAAATGAAAAATAAGTAATGTAGATCAGGGAGAATGCGCACATGGCAAGAGACAAGAGAGGATCTTGAGGCACAAGTGTTAAAACAAACCAGCCTTAAACCAGCTAGTATAGATTGAGTAAATGACCTCCAAACCTCACTCGTTATGTAGGAGCTACAGACAATGAATTATCTATTACGATAATTATATTTAAATACAAATAAACCTTTATATACCATATGTAATATAAAGTTGGAACTTTGAATCATTCAATTTAACCCTAAAGTGAAATGTAACTTTGATGGTTTTCTTACAAAAAGAAAAGAGAGCTGAAGCATTCATTTCCAGTTTTTCATCCCCAAATTTAATATTAAGCTTAAATTGTTTGTAATTACATATCTACATAGATATCTCACATGCATATACATATATATTTCATATATGCATACATACATTGCGATACATATATACATATATGTATATACATATCAGTCTCACTTAAAAGGGGATAGAAAAAAATGACTGTTGCATTGAGAAATCTTGAATCTTCTCCTTTCAAAGTTTGTCCATCATGTACATTGTATATTCATAAACAGACATAAACTTTCATTATTACCCAATATTTTCTCTAAAAAAGCTTTGAATGATATTGATTTTGATGATCTTGTCCTCTGTGCTTTATTTATTCTGACTCTAGCAGTATTTTCTACTTACATATGTATATATCACTGTGAGTTAAAAGAGAAGGCACAAAGTCATGAATTCCATTTTCTTTGACTCTACTTTCATAGGGAAATAGTTTCCATTTCATGCAGTATGCAATCTCTGTCATTTTGGAAACTGTCTCTATAATTTTATAAGGCTTTCATTTTGTTTATGGGAGTGTGTTGGCTATTTAATTTAACAAAATACTTACATAATCTATTCATGAAAATAATACAATACTAATACTAAGGAGTACCAAGCAAACAGTTTTAGATATTTAGGGAGGTTAAAAAGGGAAATTAGGGCAAGTGACTCCCTCGTGGTGCTTTTATGGTAAACCTTGTGCTTAGTCTGAACAGTAGTGTCATTTCTCAAAGGTTTTTGGAAAACAAGATATATTGGACACTAGAGGAATTGTCTTATGTCACTTGCATAATAGAATCAGATAGCCTAGATTCAAGGAAGAACTCTACCACTCATTTCTTAACTCCAAGATGGAACAATATTCCCATGCTGCACATGTGACAGGATTATTATGAGTAAACAAAAGTTTACGTGCATGAAATAGAGAATGGCTATGAAAAACAAATAATACTAAAAGACAGCTTTAAAAATAATTAGATACTAAAGACCAAAGATTGTGCAGAACAAAAATAGGAAAAAAGGTAACATGAAAACTTTTAACTTCTTAGGCTTTCTAAATATCTTTCAAATGATCAAAGTAATACTCATTGCGAAGAATTAGTGTTTACATGCCATATATATGATTTCACAAATTAAATATCTTACTTAAATCCTTCTTTAATATGCAGTAGAAATTTAATACTAGCAGTAGAAATCGATTTATATTATTGCTATTCTGCCAACTCACGGAATTTCTGATTATACTCAAACTAACCAGAAAAGCTGTTTTATATTAAGAAATATCCAACATATCATTTAAGAGATATTATCTTTAGCACTATTCTGTGGAGAAAAAATAATTTTTTGTGCAAAAGTCACCCTGTTATGCGAAGGTTATGTAAAGATCATGTTTGTTGGATTTATGATATTCAAGAATTTAAATGCATATCTGTGATTGGCAAGATCACTGAGTATTTTGACCATAAAATAAGATGATGAAATTAGTGCTGTATCACAGACTTGCATCTCTTTACTTAGCATTTCTGTATTATTTCACTCAAAATGAATTTATCACTTTATTTTATCCACTAATTTTAAAACAAACTTGGATATAAGAGATTTTGTTCATATTACTCTTCAACATGCCAGCTGTTCGCATCTGCAGAATTTTCCATACAGAATATTAGAAACTGTCTTACTTCGGCGAAAGAAAAATTACTGTTGAATACTTATTAGAATTGCAATTCAGAATATTTGTGAAGATAAGGTGTCAAGCAGTAATAAAAGTATTAGTTGCTAACAGAATCAGTCTTTTCATATTGT